ACTGAGGAAGCAGTCTTGTTAAATTATTCTAAAAGAAATAATTCAAGGATACAGACGAACAGCAAATTCAAACCTCGAACAGATTCTCGTGCCTCAAATCCATCAACACGTCACTTCACAGATCGTAACCTTAATCCGATGGCTCAAAAATTTGGGAAATGTGAGTCTTGTGGACAAAACCATTCCAGATATTCATGCCCCCACAGACGAGCGAAGTGTTTTATCTGCTGTAAAACAGGACACATTCAACTTATCTGTAAGTATAAAAAAGTGTGTCACTTAACTTCTGACCATAATACTGACGTGAAGGCAGCATTTGAAAATATTTCTACTCTTTCTCCATCTTTTTTGTCCCAAAATTCGTCACACGCTTTTAAAACGTTGACATCCGCTTCTGGTCAAAAGCATGACTTTATTGTTGATACTGGTAGTGTTGAGCCCATCATTCCACCATCAGATCTAAACGCATTCTACCTCAGTGTCGTGATAGTGCATAAAGATGTTACTATTCGCGGTAATACTGGACATTCTGTACCTCTAATTGGTAGTTGCTCAACCCCTGTGAGTTTACATAAAGGTACCTCTACCGATTGTAAATTTTTGGTTTCAACGTCGGGACCATCGATTACCGGACTCAAAATTCTGCGCTCACTGCAAAATAGCATCACCTGATTGACTTCTTTGAATGCGAATGAACTCAAACAAGTGATTCCTTAATGTTCTAAGGCAACAGGTGGCATGCGTATTTCCAACTTAAGGCTGGAAGTTACAGTAGAGCCTATATTTCTTAAGAAACGAATTATTCTATTTGACTTACGCGAGCCTGTTCGTCAAGCATTAAATTGGATGTGCTCGAAAGGAATGCTGACTCCTCTCGAATCATCGAATTGGGCAACTCCGATAGTTGCCCAACTGAAGGCTGGCGGTATTTCTCCGAGAATGTATGCTGACTACTGACTCGCGCTAAATACGCAATACTGCAACTAACATGCACCACGGAAGAGCCAGAAGATGGACTTTAGGGTTTAACAGGTTCAAGTGTGTTTTCAAATGCCCGCATTGGAAGTTGCAAAGTCACTGTTGGTGGAAGACACATGTCCGTTTATTTGATGGCAAAATAATGAATGGAGTCTGTTCTGTGACCAGTTCACGTGAGGTAGGTTCGACACCAAAGTCAGCAAGCGTCAGGTAATCGAGAAAAATCAGGATGTTGTCACGGGGCCAACATAAATATCGTGTAGGTACACCTTTTTACTGAAGATATTTCCTCGCGGCGGGAAGTAGTCTGACTCAGAAACAACCCCATTTGATGCGGTCGTACGTTGTACTTACGATCTGTATGAACGCGGTTTGGTATACATGGTTATCACAGCGGACCCAGCAAAACACACGGCGAGGAGATAGCAAGAATACTTTTGAACCTGGATCGTATGCTCTCATTAGACATATATTTCCTCGTTTCGGGTGGCAGCCGTATGGGAAAATCCTCCTCCGAATGGGACTGTTGACATATGTGTGCGCCAATACAAACATAAGTCACTGGAGAAGTACCTGACCAACGCACGTCCACGTCAAAGATGCCGCTTACCCGAATCGACGTTAACAGCATCTGCAGATATCATCGCCAATGTAGGACAGGTTTTGTGAGAAAACTCCATGGAAGGAGTCCTCCCTCAAATATGGTCGATAGTGATCATGTGGTATTATTCATTTGCTTTTAGAATGAATGGAAATCACACTGTTGCAGTGGCATGTGACCAACACGGTAAGTTTTTCCCGCAGTTAGAAGGTTGGAAGGAATCTAAGATTTTCTCTTACGGCTGGAGATGCACTGGTTTTGTATGAACAAATGTACGGTAAGACTCGGAAAACGTATAACCTAGGTTGACACAATCGATTGTGAACACCCGGTTGAGTAGGATACCTGTGGTCATCAATGTTATCACAGTCCTTTGGAGATACGGAAAGGTGTGTTAGTTGTTGATCGTGTTTATCAAAGGGATCGTGATCAACTAAGTGCTTAAAATCAAATGTTTTTAGTTTTACCGCCATTACCGATCTCTTGCGGCCGCAAACACCAAAGAATATTCCAGTAACTTCCAGTCTTGTTTCCCGCAGAACGCGTTGGACGATTTCCACCATATTTACGAACCGAATGGTGAGTTTCCCGGAGACTGAATGGCAAACAGAATTGTCCGAATTATGTGGGTGTTAGCAGGTGCCTGATTTGCATTAATTTCCACACAAAATTTCGGTGGCTTGCAGAATCCGTCATAGTTTAGTAAAAAAAATCAGTAAGTACCATGCGGCTGAACGCGTTTCATCGGGACTCATCGTGACTCATCGTGACTGTTCATGTGTAAAACGTGAGGAAATTTGATTTTCAGAATTCGTCCAATTGCTGGCTATATTGCTCAAGCACTTTAGTGAAAACAAGTGGTCAGCGTGAGCATACATGCTAAAGTTTGGCCTCTTTTGTGGTATTGGAATTTCATCAGGTTTTGGTCTCTGGAATTTTTTTCTGACTGTCACAGGAATTGCGATCACCGCGAATTCACAATGATATATTTGGTGACTACGGTGGCTTGGTCATGAGAAAGCCATTTGTGAACAATATTCACACCTCGGATTAGTCATTCTGCCTGGGGAGCAAGAAGTTCGCTTATAGTCTAATAGCAAAGGCGTGTTCCTTCAGCAACCCTTCAACCGAAAGTTTTCAGCAAAGCATCTTTTGTCACAGCAACCGGGAATAATTCGTTTAAATAAACTGAATCACTATTGGATGATTTTATTGAACTCAGATAGCAGGTTTAGTTAGACATACATTTTGGGACGCTAGAACGGTGTCCACCAATACGCTTCTTGCCGAATGATCGGGACTAACTACGATCGCAGCTGATAACCAATGAGGAAATGCATGTCTTCGGATTCGCCCATGAAGTACTGCGCTGGGCAAATACGCCTTGTGTGGTTACTGTTTGTGGGTTGTCTTTTCCTCCACACTCCTGACATATTGACCGCATCTCCCGGAAGGCTTACAATTAAGGAATGATCATCTTTACCATAGACGACGATGAGCTCGTTTGCCGCTATGTCTCAGCGGGGAAAGTGAACTGGTGATTTCCACCTGTAAAAGTGAGGCGAGGCCGTGTGTATTAGGCGTACGAGCATATATGTCCAAAAATCTCTAAACCTTGAGACAGTATATTAAACGATTTAACTATGCCATCATGGACGCTCGATGAAGTCGACATACGTCGGATAACAACCGTCTTGTTGACTTTGTTAGATCTGCGGCGAGACCAGTCAATTTAGAAGTACGGTATTCAAATAAGTTACACTGTTTTTATAAAGCGTTCATCCAGCAAAAATGATTTTATCTTTGCGGTAACGCAAATGGTGTTTTGGGCTATAATGTACAGTAATAACATAAAAGTACGTTTTATAGCGAATCGTTAGTGCACCGTCACGTTTGGACCCTTAACTTATGACCAGGGAGACAGAAATTCAGCCACAATCTTTCGTGATGCATAGGATACTTGCTATCTTACACGTCAGCCTTGGTCTTCCGGAATAAGTGAAACTTGGTAGGGCTTCATTTGATCTATCCCGTTTACAATCATTCGGATGCTAGCAGAATCCGTCATGGTCTAGTCAGAAGAGTGGGCTCATTGGGCTGAACGCGTTCCATCAGGGCTCATTATGACCCTTCATCTAGATAACGCGGGGAAAATGAGTTATCAGAGTTTATCTTAATTTCTGGATGCAATTTTCAAGCACTTCGGTAAAATCCTTTACTGTCTCGTTTGTTAAAGCACGTGGCCAGCATGTGTGCAAATAGCCATAATTGCCATCTTGCATGATCTTCAAATTTTCTCGGTTTTTGGTGCTTTGATTGTTTCTGACTGTCACGAGAACTGTGATGACCGCGGGCATAACAAGAATATATTTGGTGAATGTGTTGACTTGCCCATGGGAATTCTATCTTTGAACAATACACGTTTCCCAGAATAATAGATTCCAACCTCAGAGCAATTCCTTAGAGTATCTACGCTAGCGTACCCAATACTATCGTGCAGCATTCTTATTCGATTTTGTCACAAAGATTTCCCCGTGAAGCACCCAAAACGACTGACTTACCGAAGACTTCCGACTGCTAGCGGCGTATTGATTTACGTTGTAACGACCTACTTCCTCTTTTATACATTTGGGAGATACAGGAATCGGTTTGCGTCTGAACCACGGAGACGCAAATCATATTATTTGGGATGTGCCCACGGCATACCAAAACGGTGTCGCACAACTACGAATTGGCTTTTGGATTTTTTAAGAGCCTTCCGCTTGTTAAGGAGGATAACACACCTGAAATATTAGAAATAAGCTTGTTTGCTATCAACCGCCATTGATTAGGCTGTCAGTGGTAAAGTTTTGTGACGCACAACATGCGACTCGGGAACCGGTCACCTACGCTTTCGTTGTGGAGTTTTCTCACCGAGTATCAAAACGGGCTTGGAATATCGCACAACCAAAGATCGGTTTCTTGATTTTTCAAGAGCGTTTCCCTTGTTCGGAAAGCTTAATCACCAGCTTGGAGGACATATAAATGTGATTTATGTCCATCTTATTTCAAAACTCTCCGGAAAAAGAAAACGGCACACGGTGGATGGTAGTGTGAAGAGATCGCCCATAGCGGATGCACCAGGACATTAGTGTATGCCGACCCGATGGAAAACGTATGTTTACGCGTCCTCATCCCTAAGTGGGAGAGACTATGTTCTTGTCAAATGTGAAAGTATATACTTATAAATCCCCACACATTGAAATGACACGTGACACACTGTTGTCGAAGACGCTGCTTGAAATCGGCACGTGTCGCTTACCAACCGTCATGTACTGCAGTAAGATAATCCGCAGTAAAAATATGGTAATGAAATTAATTACTCCAATTTAATGACATTTTCAACTTTTGCGAAAGATTTGGTCCCCGCGGCACCACAGATGGTGTTTTAGAGTTTCGTATCTTGTTTTATTGATAGAACTATACTTCATAATCAAAGCCTCAACGGATGGGTCAACACGACTAAGTAATCGCACTTATACTCGATAACCGATAGTGGGCCCTCATATTCGGACCTGAAACTTTCGATCGGGGAGACAGAAACTTTGGCACATCATTCTTGCTACACAGGATGGGCGCTATCTCACAGGTCAGCATTGGCTGCATGGGAGGAATTTAGTTACAAGAAATAAGCCCCAACCAGAAAGACGGAAAAAATGCGGACCATAAAAAGACATGACGTGTGATATTTCTAGGTCATCGTATAATAATAAGCTCTTCCTCATCATTCTTTCAACGAAATTCAGAAACGCCAAAATTGCAGCTAGAGTTTGATAGTGTCATCAAAGTGTCAGCTTTGTTACGGCTGGTATCCAAAATTTACTCACGCGGAAACCCGAAACCTAAGATTCTGGTACTCCTGCATTAATGGTCCACGGTTGAATGGATCAAAACACAGTATTTGTGAGCTTTCTGTTGCCCGCCGATTATTCTACCTTGCTTGTTCATTATGTTTCGCTTAATAGCAATACAGTCCAATGGATATAAAGCTTTTAATTGTACTTGAATTTGTTTCGGTCCACACTGCACCACAGTGATTGGAACAATCCCATTG